AATCAGTTGACGAGGATCATGTCTGCTGAAGCTCGCCACTGTACATGTTCGAATTGCTGTTTGCTGCCATTGAGTCGGTTCCGACCCTCAGCAGCCTCACGCACAAGACAACAAAGCACCGTCCTCACAGTCGTTCCTGCGCTTGAGCCCAGTGCTGCAGCCCCAGTGCCAGTCCAGCTCCCTGAGGGCCTGCCTCACGTATGTAATATAAGCAAATATTCTATGGGGAGATACTTTAAAACAATGAGTATATCCCATGCCTTGTTGCATTTTCCACTTCTAGTAGCATCCATTGATGATTCTTTCCTTAATCATTACTAAGGTAGTTGCCCAAAGCCCAAACTTTCCCTTATATATATTTGTTTGTATGCATTAATTGTCTGATGGAATTGATTTACTTATTTTGTTACTGTTATTTTAATGATTAAATTGATAAGATTTGGCTGGGAAGGCAAAAGCAGTTTCTGGGTCCTTTTAATAGGTCCTTATCATTCCTTCTTAACTTTCTGGCACAATGAACTTGTTCAGGTTCAACTTGGAACTTACCCTGCTCCAAGCCTGGAATCACCCATTTTCCAGTTAAAGAAGTACACAGAAAACAAGATTTGTACACTTCAAGTAAAAATTGCTGCTGGGAGGTCACTATCCCCAATCCCTGCTGATGGGTAGAATTAGGGCAGGTGTGTGTGTCCCTTCACATTTATTTATTTCGTATATATCTAGATAAAATGAAAACCATGAATTTAAGCTGTAGGGTCGTAGAAGTTATTTTGTGCTATCTCTTTCTATATTCATGTTCGCCTTTTCTGTCAGTAAAAACTATGTATGGTTCTTATTGTCCTGAATATTTTAAGAATTCCTTATATATACCCCTTCTCTTGATCCCACTGGCAACATGCTCTAACCCTGTTCTCACCTGGCCTCATTATTGACTGTTATTGGGCTACCACGCTGTCTCTTTCCAATGTTCCCACCAAGCCTGCTATCTCCAGCCATTGGCTGCCTATCTCCATTGTATTTTAAAATACGCAGCCCCCTCCCAACACACACACACACACTTCAACTTGGTTTTAAGTGTATTTGCTTTTGGTTCATGGGAAACATCAGATATCTACTGAAGCTTACGCATTTGCTGTTCTTATCTACTGATAGTGTTATATGTACTTTGAAGGGGTGGTCGGGAGAGAAATAAATGAGAGTGTATTGGAACAAAGCACACAAGGAAGGGAGAAAGGAGAAACTAGTTGAAAGGTATCATGCAGAATGAGTGCCAGTAGAGTTCCCCCTTCCCCCTGACTAAATAGACTTTACGGTGCCCTGGAAAAAAAAGACTACCTTTCCCTTAGAAAACGGACTAAAACAGTGCCGTTTTTACCGATTCAGAGCCCCTTTCTTTAGGCCATTGTCCTTTTACTCTCCAGGCATCTGGTTAATTTGTAAGTTACCCAATTTTTTCAGACACTATTATTTACTATTACTGCTGGTTTTCCAAGTCATGCTTCTACCTACTGACTGGTCTTTATCAGGGTATACTGAGTGCTTCTGGCCCAGTGAGTTAGTTAATTGTGCCAACCTGGCCGATAATCACATGTGGGGCTAATTGAAAGGCGGAGGGATAAATGGGTGGTGAAGCCTCGCCTTTCTAGTTCTCGGGTCTCTTGCTTTGTGATGGTCACACCAGGGTGTAGCTGCCTTAGCAGTTCCCTGCTTCAGCTGACAAGGTCCACTTCCTACAAGACATCCCTGAGGAGAAGCCACATGGACCTATCCCGATGCAGCCCTGGGTGCTGGAGCAGCCGTGTGGCGACCCCTGCTAGTGTTGAGATGCTTATTCATTCACTGACTCAACTTTCCTCCTGCAGTCCGCATCATTGCCTCTGTTTTGTGAGGTGGAGGACTTTGTGTAATGGGTTAATGTTGGACTTGTGGGCTTGGGCAGCATTGGGTTGGGATGTTTTCTTTACATAAAGAAAGTGATGCACACTTTCTTTACATAAAACTCTTATACATGAGTTGCTGTGGATTTGTTTCTCTAAAGTATCTAGACTAACATACCCAGTGTCTTCATTTTTCTTCCCAAATGAATTTCTCTTCTTACATTTCATGTCAGATTAATCATTTTGCCATATCTTCATCTCCTTTCACCCATCTCTTCCTTGTCAAGTCTTAATTTATTACCATGGCCTTTCCATTTGCCTTCTAAATACTTCTCCAGCCCACTGGCTTTTCTCTGTCTTTGAGTTTCTGACATTTCCAGTATATCAAGTACGTTCACTTCCTTGTTCTTTTTCTACACTTGTGAGGAGTACAGGGAACAATGAACTAACTACTGGTGTTTCTGTTGCTTGCTTTCTTAAAGCAGAGATGGTCACAAATTTCTTCTCAATTTTTCTTTTCCATTTCTCCTCATTCTATTAAAATTCACCTTTCTTTCCCCTCCAGTCTTTAGTGCTCTTTGTTCTGTGGCTCTTTGCTATTTTAGTCTCTATTTGCCTCTAAATATTATGTAGAGAGTAAAAAGTAAAAAGCCATAGGACTGGGCTCTTGTGTCTTACAACTCTGTGGAGATAAGTTCTGAATACATATTTTTTAAGCACCAGAGTCATGAACATATGTGGGAAATATGGTCTATCCTATTGAGGAACCTTGCAGGCTGTCAGAAAGGAGAGCCCCCTGATTGGTTTGCACAATATGGAAACTTTCTTGGCGCTGATTAGTGTGTTATGAACAAAGTCTAATGGGCATTTTCCTGAAGAGTAGGCAGTTGGAGGTCATGTGGAGCATATAATTTCATGATCAGGTCTGTATTCTAATGTCAGCTTTGCCTCTGTCTGACTGTGTCACTTAAAAGAGTCACTTTGTGCTTCAGATCCCTTGTTGCCAAAAAGAGCATTTGGAAAATTGATGTGTTTTGAAGTCCTAAAGATAAATTTTTTTAGGAAAAATTCAAGTTGAACTGATTAGCTGTAGTGTCCAAGATAATGTTTTCCTGTGGGTGTTTAGAAAAGATGTCATTAGGTTTACTTTTACATATTCTATGTTTGTTTTTTTTAACTTACATGAACACAGTTTACCTCCACTCCTTGCTTATCAATATGGTTAAGTCTAAAGACCAGGTCATAATGTAAAAAGTCAGTGTTATGTGAAAATGGAGGCTGACCACAGCATTACATAACTTGTCAGGTTAATGCCAGACCACTGAGAATCATGACCCAGCCAAGTTGACATAGAAGCCTATCCATCACAGCCACTGTTTCATACTTTGGCATTTATTACTGCCAAAAGTACATCATTAGTGCACAAAATAATTGGATAGTAGATACTTTTTACTATGCTCATAAATGCAAACTATTGGATAATGATCTGGTGAATGCGTGAGGAGAAGCTGTACTTACTTTGCCCTTTTTTGTTTATTTGCCCTTTCTTGTAAGGTTGATGATTTTGGGGGAGTTATTTAAATAGAATTGCTTTTTAGTAATGTTTTACAAGACTTAATCTGTACTGTACAGATTTAATTTTGCTTGGGGCTTACATGTTTATACTAACTGTTTCTCCTGGATACCGGTTCTTCTAACCACTAGAGTTTCTGAAGGGAAGCTCTCTAACAATTGCCTATTAATCAGAATGTCTTGTTTATTATTTCCCATGTTATATATATGTTTATAATGAGTATCCTCAGCTGATTTTTATTAATGAATATCCTCATTCTAACCTTTTAGGTATTTATGAATTTAATGATTTCCATGACTTTTTCCCAGATAGTATTTTCAGTGAAAGAGATCAGTTCCTTGCTTCCTTTTTGTGCTTCACTTCTTTTTTGATCTCCATTTTTATTCTTTTAAAGTTTTTCAGTGTTTTCTTTAATAATTTTATTGGGGGCTCATACAATTCTTATCATAATCCATACATACATCAATTGTATAAAGCACATTTGTGCATTTGTTACCCTCATCATTGTCAAAACATTTGCTATCCACATAAGTCCCTGGCATTAGCTCCTCATTCCCCTCCCTCCCTCCTCACCTCCCCCCTTTCTCATGAACCCCGATAATTTATAAATCATTATTTTGTCATATCTTACACTGCCTGATGTCTCCTCTCACCCACTTTTCTGTTGTCTGTCCCCCAGGGAGGAGGTTATATGTAGATCCATGTAATTGGTTCCCCGTCTCTACCCCACCCTCCCTCCACCCTCCTTTCACCCTCCCGGTATCGCCATTCTCACCACTGGTCCTGAAGGGATCGTCCGCCCTGGATTCCCTGTGTGCTTCACTTTTACTTCTTCCACTCTTTAGAATCTTATTTCATATGTTCTATTTTTCCATATATTTATATTACAAAAGATCCTATGTCTCCATTGCATATCAAAATGAATTTATCAGCTGTACACACAATAGTGTAAATAGCCATATACATGTATAATAAAATGTTTGGGTAATCCAAAATATTAGTAACACCATGAATCTGAATCAACTTGCTGGTAATGGTTGAGAGTATTTAAACTAAACAACCTCTAATTGCTTAATATTAGTAACTATGAACTGGATTCAACTTGATGACAATGGGTTACAGTATTAAAAAACTAAGCTTAACTTCTAATTGCTTATTAAGATAGTTTTAAAATAAATTTTCGTACCAGGAAAAAAATTAAGGAATTAAAAATAAAATAAATAAATTTTCAAAATGTATTATTAACCACAGTAAATAAAGCAAAAGTTTGATCCTTTTGACTACAACTCTTTTGCTAAGTTAGGGAATGTCTATCAGAATTGCCTTTTATAAGACCTAAAAGCCTATAAGGTAAGCTTAATTAGGACATCAATAAACATGTTTATCAAATAGATACTTTATTTCCAAATGATTTGTTGTAAAACACCAGGGTAACCAGTAAAATTCTGAGTAATAGCTACATGACTGAATTAGTGATGGATCATAATCTCTATCAGTAACCCATCAAAAATAAGTTTATATGACATGTTTCTGTATAATTTCCTTTTTAGATCCAGGAAAGCAAAGAATTCAATTGATAAATCAACTGAGACTGACAATGGCTATGTATCCCTTGATGGGAAGAAGACTTTTAAAAGCAGTGAAGATGGAGTATCAACCCATGAGCCTCAGTGTGAAACCATTCGATCAGAAGAGACAGCCTGGAACCCAGGAACACTGAGGAACATTTCCAGCAAAGTGAGTGTAGTTTAAAACAGGTGATCTTTATGTACACTAATGCGAAGTGACTTCGATATAGTGATTTCCCATGAATTGTGTATTTTGTCCAGAGTTTATTCTGAGACCTTATGAATCACACTGAGGAAGTAGAAAATAAAGTGTTATGATTAAACTTGATTGCCAGTGCAACCTGACTTCTCTAAATTACATAACAGCTGTGGTTTTTCCAACAAGTTAAAACACTTTGTGTTTTGTAGTTGGCACTTGCTAGTCTTTACCTTCTATTTCCTTGTTTCTGCTGGTAGGCTAAACTTTGCACTAGTCATTCCAAAATAATTGTGGAAGCTCTTGCATTAGGAAGTTGGATTGCCATTCATATTCACTGTTAGAAAATATTCTCATGTTTTTTCTATATCTCTGGTATCAGTACATCTCTTTTATTTTGCTTTTTAATCTCAAAACAATTCTTCATTGAACACATTTGTTAAGGAGAATAATAATTTGTGTGCTTTTCTAAAAGAACAATTAAACAGGCTACAGCTTAAAAGCATAATGTTTTCTTGCTTTATTTTGTGGAATTTTTCTGATTAGACAATTTAAAAAATATGACTAAGTTAAAAGATATTAAACCTTTATTATATTTAGGAATGTGAGGACTCATATTTTTGTGTTGAGGAAAATAAGAGATTTTCTAATCTTACGTATATGTGACTCCCACATAGTATACATACTTTCAATACCATAGAACAGCATGGAGCTGCAATAAAATATATTGTCCTGTACTCTGTTTGATTGTAGATGTTCTGAGCATTTACCTTCTGATAATATGAGCCTCACATCACTGTCACCACTTAACATAGGTCTTTTGTTAAGCTTGTAAACATATAGTACTCAAACATATTTTCAGGTATTGACTTACTAAAAGGTATATGAGAAAAAAATGCAGATATTGATAAAACTTAGACTCTGGCGTGTCTCAATATAGAGTTTTTGTACTTTTAATATTATCCCTTACAATTAGATATGCACAAAATATGTATCTAATGTGCAAAATTTCTTTCCTTTCCCCATAAATCATTAATACATCAGTGCTGAGTCTTATAATAGGTGGCATGTTCTAATTGAGAAAATACTATAATTAGTTTATCACAATGCCTAGTTAGTTTCCTTTGTTCTCAGGTTCTTTTAAGTGAGCTCTGCCCTAGTTTTACACGCACACACCTTTTTTTCTATCCTGATTTTGTAAGTTGGTTTAATATCCTTTTTTGAGGAAAAATTGATTTGGGTCTATACTTGAGAAAAGGTTGTTGCATTTAAAATTAAAATAACAGTATAATCATTGATTCATGATATCCCCCCCCCCCCAAAAAAAAAAGTCAGATAGTACTTGCAAATTGCTTTGAGGTATTTGAAGGGGGTTTCAAAAAGCTATGGAAAAATTCCATTTTCTTTTAAATTTATTTTTTCCATTAACTTTTTGTAGTTCCCGTGTGTGTTTATGTGTGTGTGTGTACACAATTTTAAATTTTAACGCTATTGAGTTTATTTTTGTATTTTTAAAATCATTTTATTAGGGGCTCATACAACTCTTATCACAATCCATACATACATCAATTGTGTAAAGCACATCTGTACATTCATTGTCCTCATCATTCTCAAAACATTTGCTCTCCACTTAAGCCCCTGGCATCAGGTCCTCATTTTTTCCCATCTCTCCCCGCTCCCCTCTCCCTCATGAGCCCTTGATATTTTATAAATTATTATTTTGTCATATCTTGCCCTGTCCGACGTCTCCCTTCACCCACTTTTCTGTTGCCTGTCCCCCAGGGAGGAGGTCACATGTAGATCCTTGTAATCGGTTCCCTCTTTCCAACCCACTCTCCCTCTACCCTCGCTATTAAGTTTTGTCAGCAATAACGGTACTCTCTCTGTGTACTCCCAATTTAGGATGCCCAAAGGACAGGAACAAATGTCTCTGATGAATTCTCCAGTGAAGAAGGCCCTGAAACAGGGTACCCATTACGCCGCCGGCATGTGGACAGGACTTCTGAAAGCATTCTTCGGAATAGAAAGTCACACCATTATAAGAAACATCCTAATGAGGTATACACTTTACACACAAACCTATCTCTTATGTTATTGATTTGAAACTTCTTCCAACAGTGGGATATTATTGTGAAAATAAAATATGTTTCCTATTAGTATTAATATTTTGTATTGTTATATGATGAGATTTCATAGCGTAGCAGCTTCAGATTCATGTACTGCCATCATACTGCTAAGTAGCCACATATCACACACTTGTACATTGTCTCTGAAGACTCCTCCATTCAGTTCGCGGTTTACTTTGAAAGAAGGCCATCGTGGAGAGGTTAGTTCCCTCCACACTTTGAAGGGCTTTATAGCTCCTTGAGTTTGGCAAACGAGCTGTTCTAAGTGACTTTCTTCACACTGTCACCACTCCAATTCTGGGTTTTCTCCTTTGTTGACGGATTTTTGATTCTTACCTAAACTCTTCCAACTCTGTCACATATCTTAAATATAAAACTATTTTTTTTAAAAAAAATTTCATTCAGTTATATTTCTACTTTTTATACTAAGGATAGAACATTTCCTTAGGTTCAATAAAAATGAATTATTTTTAATGTAGCTTTTTGATAACACCCCCTTTCTTTTATTCTACAGTTTTACTTTTTTCCTCGATAATGTAGAAGTAATCTTCTGAAAAAACAATTATTATAGTATGCTGGACTACGTTGAGACCTCAGGCTGTTAGGATTCCAAACGTCGCTCTTTGTATACTTTTCTCTGTGATGATTTCTCTAGTTAATCTTTTAGGTGACTGTGACTGCGTCTCTCTCTTAGTGACAAATGTCAGTGTCTGTTCCTTGCCTCCTTACCCACATCATCTGATAAATTATCCCCTGTTCCTGATGAAGCCAGAAATCCACAGGCCTGCTTAATGGCTCTACAGTTAGAAGTTAATGGTGCTGGAAGAGAGCCAGAGTGGTTTCACTGGTCCCCTATAGATAAGTTATTTGGCTTTAGAGGTTGTTTTTTTTCACTCTGTGACATTTGTTCTTGATTTGCAGCTATGTTTTGAATTATTGACATTCTTGAAGAGGCAGGACACTATTTTAATAAATATATTGCTGTTAAAATCATTTGGTTTCCAAGTTGAGTAAAGCTAATGATTAGCTAATTAACCTTAGCTTTAAATCTCGCCAATGATTTAAAAAAATATCTAAAAATAAGAATCTTGTATTTGAATTCTTCATCTGTAAGTAGGCGAAATTTAAATGCTGCATCCAGTTCCCAAAATAATTGATCCTTTTAAGATCTAAAATGAACTTTCAATGACCTTAAAAAAAGAAAGGAAAAAAAGGACCCTCCTTTGAATAAGTAGAATTAAGACAGAAGATAATAAGTGCTCTTATACATCCTTTCTTACAGTTACAAGTGACTGATTTCAGATTACCAGTGATATTTTTGTCTTTAGACTGAGGCATTAAAACAGTGTTTGGGAAAGCATTTTGTTTCTTGTTGGGGCTGATGTGCCTCATTGTAGGATGACCAGATAGCAGCCAGCCATTTATTATAAACAGCTCAAATGTGGGTAATATAGATGTGCTTTTTTGGGATATTTCATTTTTCAGGAAGAATTGTCCGACCTTCTGTAGGATGAGCTTGGTATATCTTATATCCGGCTGCCATGTGTGTGGGTACCAAGGGGGCTGAGGGTGAGGTGGGGAACTTGCCGTTGATACATAGTCTTTGATTGAATCCCATGGGGTTTGAGTTTTTTTGTATGTGTGTGTGTGCCACCTACTATCTACTATACAAAGAGCCTTCAAAAGTAGAATGAAAAGATAATAGAATTTTCCCACAAACTCTTTTGAAGCAACATAGGCAATCTCTGGACTACAGATGGCCTGCTTAGGAGCAACTCCTGCTTGCCCTTTAATATTATATAAAGTCACCCTCACTGGAACCAGTCCCTACTGGTTCATCACAATCACGTTCAGTATCAGCATGGGCAGAGTTTAAATCAGTGAACGAATGGAAGGTTAAATAAGAACGTTAGGCACCTGGTCAGATGTTTCCACAAATTCTTAAAAGACACGGGAACAGAACTCATTCTCACCCCAGGAACTATCTGTATCCAGTTTGATGTTTCAGGTCTCCTGTTAGGAAGAGAGTGGGGGGATTACTTGCTTCTCGGGATGGAGAGGAAACATCTCCTGGTGATCTGACAACTTTTTAAGTATTTGATGTGATTACTACTCTATCCTCCCTTGTTTAACTCTCCAAATACTTTTCATCTGTATTCTCAATTGTAGACAGACATTTTCTCTAGTGAAGGTAACTCCTGATGGGAAGTATAATCATAAAACCATGTGCTTGGTTGGAGTCCACTGTTGAAGTGACTTTCAGAAAATTATAGCACTCATCTCTGCTTCAGTTTCTGCAACTGTAAAAGAAAGAGCCAGCCTCATCAGATGGTTATGATTAAGTAAGATTGTGTGCATATTAACAGGCCAAAGCATTTATGCTGTAAATATTTACTACTTCAAATAAAGAATCTGCCTCCTCAGAATTTGTTTATATGTTTAGTTCTAATTGTCTGTCTAATGATTTGAAATGAATAGAGCTACCAAATCAAATGCGGTAAACCAAGACTAATTAATTCTAAAAGTTCATGCTTTTAAATTTTAGTCATCAGTTGGTTCTGAAATTCATAGTGCCTATTAAGTATTGCAGGTAAAATTCTGATTGAATTATAAACAATTATAGACAATAGTCTCAAAAGTTTACATCTGTAAAATAACCCTTTTATTAATCAGTATTTGGCAAAAATATGCTTATAAAGAATTATAGATATTTTCTTAGTCCTGAAATTACCCATTCATTTTAGTTAAGCAGACATCTAGACTTTAATCAAATTATTCATTTTTGATTATCAAGGTTGCTTCAGAAATTATTGATAGCTAAATTAACTTTCAAATATTTTAAATTGGCAATTACTGAATATTTAACAACTTCTTTGCCTTGTTATCTAATGAAAAGTGTCATGATGAGAATTGCTTAAGCTTCAAATATTCTAATTGACATAGTGAGTACGAAACAGTTTTGGAGTGCTATTTATAAAACAAAGCAGACTGATTCTTCCCCTCCCCCCTTTTTTCTATATTTTTCCTCTTTATGTCTTAGTAATTTTTTAAACCTCCTTTAAAAAAATTTTACTGCTCTTTTCCCCCTAATAATTCTCCCGTAAGCACTCTGTCAACAAACTATTTTATGTCCATGGTGACTCATTCTACTACCAACAAAAGAGCCACCAGTAATGTGCCTTACCAATTCAGAATATTGTGCTACCTGTGTTAAAGATGGCTGGAAATAGTGTTTGGTTTCTGTCCTTTGTGGACTTAGTGTTCTAGTATGTTTGAAACTAATATCTTTGAGATTATCTAACATATGAACATTTAAATAATGCACACAACATTGTGAATGTCGGAAAATAATGCATATTATATTGCCAATTCAATATAAAAAAGGATAACTCAGCCAGGGACAAAATATAATCACTAGATCATAAATCCCTAACTATATTTGGCCTATTGCCTCTTTTCAGGAAAAAGGGGAAAAAAATTATTCAGTGTTTGCCCCCCTAGCAATAAAAAACTTTAGTACTATAGCCCACAATCCAAGATAAAGTGTAGGTATCTACTTGTGCAGCCCCTCTGAATCATTCCAGGGCCCTCCCCTGCACCCACAAGTGATGGTATTGCCCACTTTGGGAAACACTGCTTTTGATAGAGGCTTTAAGCAAACATTCCTAAACCCCTCTGCTTTGTGCCATTTATGTACTGAAAACTACAAGGATAGCTTATTTCATTTTCAACCGTTCTTTAAGGTGGGCTGTTTTAGTTCCTATTGCTAACTGAAGAAACTGAGGCTAAGAAACAAGGAGTAAGCCAGCTAGTAAGGGGAGAGGATGGCATATCGTGCTACTTTGTTGAGCAGGCTTTAATGGAGACGGGGTTAATGATAAGAGGTTGGAACATAAGCAAAGACTAGAGTGGCAAAGGGCAGGCTTGTGTGTGGCAAAGGATTAACGCAATGTCGCTGGAGAAGAGGGCTGTGTGCAGAAGTAGAAGACTGGGTCAGAGGTAGCACACTGGAAGATGAGCTCACTGGGTGAAGAGATCCCACCTTTATGCAGGGAGCCACAGAAGGGTTCTGGTAAGAAGAGAGAGAGCAGCTGCATGTTCAGAAGGTTAATCTAGAAAGAGAGGGAGGCCTTTTTGGTAGGGGACACTTAGAAGAGCAGTCGTGGTTTGGATGATGAAAGTTGAATTGTTGAAAGCATGGGCAAGAGAAAGGGATAAATGTAAAATATTTTAAAGGTAGATTTCACAAACGACAAATACGAGTAACTCTTAAAAAGAAATCCAAAAATATGAGCATACTGGACTACAAGGATGACTTGCATTTTCATTAAGTAAAAAGTTCTTTTAGATTAGTTTATAAAATGAAATTTTAAAAAAAATCTCATTTTGAAGTCTTTTTTTTTTACATTAACCATTTCTAGAGGAAAATGAATTAATTAGAAATTGTTTAACTTAGGCTTTTAATTTTTTCTTTTATTCCAGAGGTTATTTCAGAAACACATAATGACAATTTTCTGCATGGTTTTGAGTTTTTTAAAATTAATTTTATGTCAATTTATTGAACTTCTATTTGAGAAACAAATTCAGTAGATAAGTAAAATTATTACTAAACACTAGAGTAAGAAAATAACTCCCAATACACACACCAGTTAAAGTCAGCTAATATTCATTGTTCAGTTTATATGAACCTAGCCTACTTTCTGCCTGCTAGAATTCTGAGCATTATGTAAAATGCACGAGAAAATCAGTGCAATCTTTGCACGGCAATATCACTGAGCTGTTAAATAAAATCAAGTTAAAAAATGTTTTGCTGTCTATTCCACTATCCTTTGATGGTGTTTTGGTTGTTTTAGCAAACAGTTAATGCATGGTTCTGATAGGATCCTTTGCGTTGGAAAGGGTACATAAATTGTATTAATGTCAAAGAATATCTTGATTTCAGGATGCCCCTAAATCGGGTACTAGTTGCAGCTCTCGCTGTTCAAGTTCCAGACAGGATTCTGAGAGCACAAGGCCAGAATCTGAAACAGAAGATGTATTATGGGAAGACTTGTTACATTGTGCAGAATGCCGTTCATCTTGTACCAGTGAGACTGATGTGGAAAATCCTCAGATTAATCCCTGTGTGAAAAAAGAATATAGAGATGACCCTTTTCATCAGGTTGGTTTACAGTGTTGGATTATGTGGCACTAACAGCCAAGCCCCTTTGAATATGTATGCAAATTTATAAAGGTGAAGAAAAATCTTACAATTAAAATGATATTTCTGTAATTTCTCTTTTTTTTCTATGTGAGTTGTGGTCTGACTTCATTAGAACATAGAATCTCAGTCTTTATATCACACTTAAGTCTCTTACCTTGCAAATATATTTCTGAGAAGTTGTTGGTAAATGTAGTTTTGTAAATTGTGTTTGGATACATTAGTCTCTTTCTCATTCAACACACTTAATGTGTGTTGGCCAGATTCATCTACACCTGTATGATTGGGATTTGATTGTCTGTTTCTTAGGAATACCAGCTTTATCTCCTGGCACCTGTCAGTAGCCCCATGGATCGTGGTCACCATATTGAACAGTACAGATCTATAAATAAGATAACTTTATTTGAATGTCTCAGCAGTACCTCAGCTTTAACCAAGATGTCCCTGCCCTCTTCTGAACCTCTTTGTCTTGTTGCATGCAAAATATTGGTGAATGGCATTACTGTTTACCCACTCACCTGTCTAGAAACCTGCGGGTCATTTTAGAGTCTTTACTCTTATTAGCATTCTTTTCTCTCTCTCATACACCTCCACATCAAATTCTGTCAAATAAACAAAATGTAAACTACTGGTGACTAGAGACAGATGAGAACACCCTAAATTTGATTAAGGGTAGCTACCAAACAGCCTTCTGAAAACTGGTAATTAATAGTGAAATTCTAGAAGCATTTCTATTAAAAGAGGAACAAGACAAAGCAATCCATTATCCATACTTTTCCTATCGGAGTCCTAACAACATGTTTTCTTGACTGCTTTTGGTTGAAGATTGACTGACCTAAAGTTCACACTAGGAAACAACATGCCAAGAATAGCAAATGTAATTTTAAATGACAACAACGTTAGTGACTTTTCCTATTAGGTATAAACATTGATTTTAAAGATATACCATATATACTCATTTATAAGCCAAGTTTTTCAGCACATTTTTATGTAGTTTTTGTGGTAAAATTAGGTGCCTTGGCTGATATTTGGGTCGGCTTATACTCTAGTATATACAATTGGAATGCATGGTATAGGGATACTATGAATGAATGAATAAGTAAATAAAAAAAAAAACTAAACCCACTGCCAGTGAGTCGATTCCGACTAATAGTAACCCTATATAGCAGCGGTTCTCAACCTGTGGGTTGATAGGGGGTTGAATGAACCTTTTACAGGGATTGCCTGATTTATAACACTAACAAAATGACAGTTATGAAGTACCAATGAAAATAATTTTATGGTTGGGGGGCGGTCACCACAACATGAGGAACTATATTTAATGTATTAATTAATGTATTGAAGACATTAGGAAGGTTGAGAACCACAGCTATGTAGGGTTTCTGAGGCCATAAATCTCTATAGGAATAGATAATCCATCTTTCTTTTACTGAGTGGCTAGTGGGTTTGAACTGCGGACCTTGTGATTATTAGCAGTTGAGCACTTACCCAACAGTGCCTCCAGGATAAGGGATACCTCCTTGTGGTATAGGGATGTCAAAACCAAACTTCCTTCTATGGATGCATAACAACCTAGCAGGATAGGGTAGCATGGCCCCCCTGGGTTTCTGAGGCTGTAAATCTTCACAAGAGTATGGAGCCTCATCTTTCTCTGGGGGATTGACTCTCAATTTCATATTACTGGCCTTGCATTTAGCAGCCCAACTCTCTCCACCAGCTGGGCACCTTTGTCTAGGGATAAAACAACCAACCCAAACTCACTGTCCTCGAATCAATGACAATGCATAGTGAGTCTGTAGGTCAGGGTAGAACTGCCCCTGTGGGTTTCTGCAGCTACAGCTTTTTTCAGGAGTAGAAAGCCCTGTCTTCTGAGGAGGGGCTGGTGGTTTTGACTTATACTGACCTCTTGGTTAGCAGTCCAGGTGTAACCACTGCACCACTGGGATATGGAACAGAAAACCCAGTCTAGATCCACAGTGTGTGATTTCCCATTACAAATCAAGGGAAAGGACTACTATTCAGCAAATACTTTTGAGTCAAAAGATTATTTGTATACAAAAACTTAGTACCTGAATGAAAAAGCAAAACTACAAAACATTTAGAAAGAAAGAGGGAAGAAAATTGTTGTTTTGGTGTACAAAGACTTCAAAACAAAATACAAAGAACACAAACTTAAAATTGGAGATGTTGATAAACTTGCATATTTTAAAACTCTACAAATTAAATGCAAATATTATTAAAGGATGAGCCACTAGATGGGAGAAGGTGTAACACATTATAACACATTAACTAACATTAACTATCCAAAATTTAATTTATTGAACATATTAAAACTTTACAAATGAGTAGGTAAAAGGCAAATGGTTCCATAGAAAATTGGACAAAGGGTGGAACCTGGCAACTTATGTAGGTGACTACTAAGTAAGGACGGTCATCTTTCTTATACCAAGGAAATGTAAATATGAACAATGAGATACCATTTCAAATAGCTCAAACTGTCAAAAATGTAAAGATCAGATAAACTGGCACTGTTGGCAAGAATGTGAAGAAATGGAGACTCTAGTACTGGCGTGTTAATATCAATTTATGCAACTATACAGGACAGCTGCTTGTCATGGTTTAGTGAAATTGGAGGTCTGTGTGCTCTAGGAAATTCACTTCCAGACAATTCCAGAAAATAAGCACAAAAAGATATAAGATGTTCATTGCATTTTTTGTGATAATGAAAAATTAAAATATTAGAATGAATAAATCATGACATGCAAATAAATCATGATAATAAAATACAGCAGGGAAATGGAATGAGCTTATTTCTATTAACATGGATAAATTTTATAAATATAATTTTGAATGAAAACAGTTACAGAATGATATATGCAGTATATCTTTTACATGTAGTTTTAATACATTTTGAACTCATTATAGATAGAAGTGTATGCAGTAAAAATGTAAAAACATGCAAGGGAATAATATCAAGTTAAGGAAGGGAATGGAAGCAAGGAATGGTACAAAGTAGGTTTTTATTTTTATCAATGTTTTACTAAAATTTCTGAAGCAAATATTGGGGGAGGGTGCTAAAATAAGACAAAGATTAGTACTATGTCTCTGATTGAAATTTTTCCATTTAAAAATATGTCCACTAATATTGACTTTAGATACAGAAGTGTCAGCTTTGTTTCAGGGGGTTGAGGAGTTATAAGGAATGAGGTGGTAGAATGTCATACATCATTCTTCTTTAAGAAGCATGGTCTTGAAAGTATGGAGAGTGTGAAATAGTAGTTAGATGGAGAAGTACTGTTGGTCTGTTTTGGACCTTAGAAGAAACACCAGTAAGGAGGAAATAAGATAGGTACAAGAGGCAGGGGTGGGTGGGTGTGGAGACCCACACCACTGGTTAGAATTTTTTTTTCCATATTCTGGAGGGGAAATAATTAGAAAGCTTTGTCTTGGACAAGGAGAACACCACCTTTACTAACAAGAAGGATGGGGTCTTACAGCAAAGAAGATGGCAGTCACTTCCTAAGGATTTCCGTTCTGAGACATGTAAAAGACCAGGGGTCTGCTGACAGCAAGGAGGGAGGTGATGTGGATGGTGGCCAAGTCTTGATGCTATTGTTTGTGAGGATTGGAGTTTGGGGAGAGTGTGTGTATGAACCTAAATACAAGCCAATGGACACATAGATATATACTGTCTTATTGTTGAGGGAATAGCCAGAATCTGGAACTCTGAATTTATAGTTGTTTGTTCCATACATTTATGTAATGTTCTCTGGAATACAGCTGTATTAATCATACCAGTAGCTAACATTTAATGAGCACTTGCTATATGCTGTTAGCTGTGCAAGTGATCTAGATTTATAATCTCATATAATTCTAACAACTACATTTGAGACTGTAGTTAAATTTTTTTTTATTTTATAGATGAGGAAATTGATGCCCAGAGAAGTTGAATAATGTGTCCAAATTCATAGTAACTCAGTATTTAATAAAGTGTTTTCTTTTGAAAGGGGTGTGGTAGGGTTAATTGAAATGTTGGATCTAGGATCTAGACATCATGTGTAAAGAAAATGAAACCAAGATAAGACTGAGAGATTGATCGAAAGATAGGTGTGCCAAAGGAGAAGTGTCTTAGAAGTGAACATATGGGAGACCTGATAGTATGTGGGACTGTGGTTAAAGACTCGGCAGTAGTGCCATGTCCAGGATGTGGTATGGGGGTTTCTGTAGGTCTGGAATTGAAGAAGAATAAAGTAAGACTTAGAGTGACCCTATATAGGGTTTCTGAAGTTGTAAATCTTTATGGAGCACTTAGCCTCATCTTCTGCACAGTGCTAGTGGATCTGGGTCCTTGACCTTGTGTTTAGTAGTCCAATGTTTACTAGACATGGTTCCAAAAAAGGACAAAAGGAAAATAGGATATTGTGTGAGTCATCTGCATGTTGCTTGACATGATTAAGGATGATAACTGGAGTTAGGTTGAGGGAGATGCCACTGGGTTGTTTGCCCAGCAATACCTTCGGCAGTGTAGCAACATAAAAACAGAATGTAGGTTTTTTGCGTACTGTATTACACAGTGCTCGTGTTTAGTAATTATTAGTCGAGTGTATGAAACAAAAGTAGTTTTTTGTTAGCTTCCCCAAAAGTAGGCTTTTCATTAACAATTTAAAAAATAGTTTTGTGGATGCTAACCAGAACAAACTGAAGAAAAAATGTCTCAAGTTGCAATATTGAAAGATCTTGTGGACAAAATATTGAATGATGTAGGAAGCATCAAGAGGAAATGGGAAAAATATACAAGATCACTGTACCCAAAAGATTAGATCAACATTTAACTATTTCAGAAGGTAGTGTATGATACAGAACTAGTGATGCCGAAGAAGAAGTCCAAGCTGCACTGAAGGCACTGGCAAAAAAACAACACTCTGGGAATTGATGGATACCAGCTGAGATGTTTCAAAAAT